GGGGGGGGGGTGGAGTTTAGATTGTTGTGCCATTTCCAAAGGTGAAAAGAGGTAGTTGGGATTGGTGCTTTCCCTTTAACATTGAGAATCAGAAATGGTATTTTGTGACAAACATTCTCTGAAATCAATTCCTTTAAAAACAAAGGTGAACAAAGGTGTATTGTGACAACAGTGAATATTAGGGTAACATAAGCCCCTTGGGGCAGATGTTTGTTTCCTGTCATTCTTTGGTTGCACCATCGTCTAGAATAGTTGACGGTATGTGGTAGGTTCTCCGTCTCTTATTTATTGAGTGAATGAATAGTGCTTTACCTTTTATAATTTTGGGGGGGAGGGGTAGAGTCTTATCATGCTGCCCTCAGTAGAGGGCCATGTTGGCACAGCTCTCAGCAACCTCAAACTCTTGGGCATAAGCTATTCTCTTGCCTCAGCCTCCCAAGTAGCTAGGACTACAGGTACCCACCACAATGCCTGGCTATTTTTTTGTTGTAGTTGTCATTGTTGCTTTAGCTGGCCTACCAGTTTGAACTCACCACCCTCAGTGTACGTGGCTGGCGTCCTGCTGAATGAGCTGCAGATGCCGCCGTCTTTTAATAATTCTTGAGATCAAGAAAGAAAATCTTTGACTGGGTGCAGTGGCTCATGCCTGTAATCCCAGTAATTTGGGAGGCTGAGGCAAGAGGATTGCTCAAGCCCAAGGGTTTTAGGTTACTGTGAGCTATGGCCCCCCATGGCTCTACCAAACCCACCAAAGTAAAACTCTGTCTCAAAAAAAAAAAAAGAGAAAGAAAATCTATTAGATGACTGATCCCAAGGTTTATTGAAGTCAAGATATAACCACATTTCTATTTAGTGGGTTATATAACACTACTATTTTAGGCAGTTTGCTTCTATGCATAGAGTTAGAAAAAGTCCATTTCTGTTTAAAAATAAATGTACTGATTTATTTCCTACTTACACACCCCATTTTGGGGGGATCTTTTGGTAAAGCTGAAAAATGGCACAATTCAGGAAATGGATAATGTAAAGTCTTTTCCCTCTGTAACCTTAGTGATTATAAAAGGTAGCTGTATGTAATCATTGTGCTACTAATTATTGTGATGTTTTTGAAGGCCGAGAACTTTGCCAGTGGTACAATTTGAATACAGTGATTTAAAATTTGGTTTGAGGGGTGGCGCCTGTGGCTCAGTGAGTAGGGTGCCGGTCCATATACCGAGGGTGGTGTGTTCAAACCCGGCCCCAGCAAAACTGCAACAAAAAAATAGCTGGGTGCCTGTAGTCCCAGCTACTCGGGAGGCTGAGGCAAGAGAATCTCCTAAGCCCAAGAGTTGGAGGTTGCTGTGAGCTGTGACGCCACTGCACTCTATCAAGGGCAATAAAGTGAGACTCTGTCTCTTAAAAAAAAAATTTCTTTTTGGTTTTGATGCTCGTAGCACAGTGGTTACAGCCTGGGCCACATATACTGAGGGTGGAGGGTTTGAACCCAGCCTGGGCCAGCTAAACAGCAATGACAACTGCATCAAAAACTGGCTGGGCGTTGTAACAGGTACCTGTAGTCCCAGCTACTTGGGAGGCTGAGGCAAGAGAATTGCTTAAGTCCGGGAGTTAGAGGTTACAAGGAGCTGTGATGCCACGGCCCTCTACCCAGGGCGACAAAGTGAGACTCTGTCTCAAAAAAATTAATTAATTAATTAATTAAAAAAAAATAAAATTTGGTTTTGAATGTGTGCAGTAGTTCATACTAACTATGCATTTAAAAGTCTGGTTAAATTCAGTTTAATTTTTATTTTAAAATGAATATCTCTTTTTTTTGTCCTACAAGGAAAATATATACAATGATCTACAGAAACTTGGTAGTAGTCAATCAGCAGGGTAAGTTAACTTGGAACATCATAAACATATACCATAAAAAGATAGCAAAGGCTTGGCGCCTGTGGCTCAAGCAGCTAAGGCATCAGCCACGTACCTAAGGTGGCGGGTTTGAATCCACCCCGGGCCTGCCAAACAACAATGCCGGCTGCAACCAAAAAATAGCTAGGTGTTGTGGTGGGTGCCTGTGGTCTCAGCTACTTGGGAGGCTGAGGCAGGAGACTCGCTTGAGCCCAGGAGTTGGAGGTTGCTGTGAGCTGTGATGCCACGGTACTCTACCCGGGGGGACAGCTTGAGGCTCTGTCTCCAAAATAAAAAAAAAAGATATCAAAGACTTTTTTTATGTGCCTATATTTTGATTTTGATTTTCTTTAAAAATTGCTATAAAAGTGATGCACTTAACAGGAAGAAGTATGTAAGAGCTAAACATAAAACTAAGATTCTAATGTAAAGCTAACCTGTTAAAAGTTTAAGCCTTGGGATATCAGAGTTAGACTTGAAAGGTAAAGGTATATAATTTCAAAAGCCCCTGCTTTGTAGAGGTGTGATCAAACCTTGAAAAATGTTACCAAAAGGTGTTGGAAAAAATAAAGTAGTTAACCTAGGTAGACCCATCAGGGATTTTTTTTTTTTCTTTTTTGTAATAGACAAAATTTTGCTTACCAGTTTGTGTAGAGAAGTGGCATTTTATGTCTCTCCTTGACTATCTTCACTGGTTGTTTTTAGACTTGAAATTCTTAACCGGTTATTTCTGGATCACACCTTTCTTTGATAATCTTTTGGAAGCGCTGCATTCTTGTTCCAGGAAGATGCACATACACATACACCTTGTTACCTTGATAAAAGTTTAACAACCCACTGTCCCTGGGAAAAGCCCTTATTGTGTGGTTGCTGATTTCTATAGTGTAAATAGTCCATCTTCAGGCTGGAAATGGGGTTTGGACCAGATACACAGAGTTTACTTTTGAGTGCTGGCAGGAGCTGACTTCAGCCCCCTGTAGCCCTAAGGGTCACCCTTGAGCTGCCATTAAGAACTGCTCTCAGAAGCTTGTTTGGTTCCCAAAATGATTTGACCCTCCTTGTGAGCCTTCTCTCCACATGCAGATTTTTTTTTTTTTTTATTGAATCATAGCTACGTACATTAATGCACTTCTGGGGTACAGTGTGGGGTTTTCACACGCAATCCGAAATACTTCCATCAAACTGGTCAACACAGCCTTCATGTCAGTTTCTCAGTTATTGTTTTAAAACGTTCACATTCTACTCTTAGAAAGATTCACTTGTACCCCTATAAGATAAACCTCAGAAGTGATCCCTCCAATCCCTCTCCCTCCACCCATTTCTCCTTCCGCTCTCCCTCCCCTCCACGTGCAGATTTTATTGCTGTATTGCTTTGTGACACTTGTTTGTATTTCTCTTCCCTGTGTCATAGTCTGGTTTGCATTTTGCATCACACGGAACAGTGTTTTATTAATACAGTGTTCAGTAAATAGGTTGAATTGAATACTTTTCCAAAGTTAGGATTTAAAACCTAGAAAAATGTATCATCATCTTATCCCAAAATAATAGTAGTTATTAGGAAAAAAATTAGTACTTATTAAGCTAGCAACTTGGCATTTTTATTATTTTAAAGCTCTTCAAGAAATCATAGGATGGCAACCCATGCAACTGTAGTATTTATCTGTAATAGTATTCTGAGTTTTTTGATAACTCCCTGATGAGTTCATTCATTCAAATAAATTTTGGCAGATTGCTAGTACATTGATGAGATGGTAACATGTAAATTACCTACGTATTTCCACTATGAGTTTGTTTTAGGTTTCAGTAAAATTAACTTCAGAACTCTTAACATGTGTTCCCAACCTTGTCATACATAATGCTTCCTTTTTTTTTTTTTTTTTTTTTTTTTGGGCCGGGGCCAAGTTTGAACCCACCACCTCTGGTATGTGGGGCCATCGCCCTACTCCTTGAGCCACAGGCACTGCCCCAATGCTTCCTTTTTAATATCTCTTTTATTATGCTAAACCAAAATTCCTGTGTAATAACACCTATCTATATGTCCAATTTAAGGAAATCAGCACAGTGCCTTGCCCATAGAATAAAGAGAAAATTAATACATGATAACATAGGTATATCATTTCAGGATGTTCATGCTCAGGAATGACTTCACTATTAAGATGAAAATATTTCCAAATGAGTAGAAAAGTGTATTTGATTATGATTTTATGCGTTGCAAATCCGAAACTTTGACTTTTCAGTTCTAATTGTATATATCAAGCTAAACCTGTCTATCTGAATAACTCATTTTAGTTCGTTATCTTGCTGTCCAAATCTGTTCACCTTTCTGAAGTTTCTCTCATAACCACCCTTTATTCACTCAACATAGAATTTTGGAGTCCTCTTAACTCCTTTCTTCCTTGCTTTCTGTATCAGACGCCAGACCAATTCTTGGTGGTTTTCACCTTTTTAATGTTTTTTGAATTATCTTTCCATGCCTTAATTTAGGCTCTAAGACTTTCTGTTTTATTGCAGTTACTGTCTTATACTGGGTTTCCTGCTGTCACACTGGTTTCCTTGCCTTTGTCCTCTTTTTCTTCTATTTCCCAGTGATTTGTCACTCTTCTTTAAAATCACTGTTTTAGAGGTTCATTATTATTTCTAGATGTACTACTTTCTGTGAGCTAAGAAATCAGTTCTATTTCTTAGACTAAAAACCTTGCTAATGGTGAGTGGCTATAACGTTGTCTTAGGGAAAGATTGTGAAGTGTCTCCTAGGAAGAATGCAGCCATGCTGGGATGAGAGCCCCAGTGTTGCTGGTTGACCTCCTGTGCTCTTGGGCTAGGCACACAGAATCATTTACAATCTGACCTCTTGTGACTACCTGTAGTTCCCTGCAGCAAGAACTGTGTCTGGAGTCTTTTTCACATGCTATTTCATGGTTTGGAATGGCCTTTCCTGGCCCTATTTCTACATTGAACTATGAAATCTTTGTTGATTTTTTTGCTCTTCAGACCCTCCCCTTCCCCTTCTATGTGAATTTATTTTATAATACTTTCTTTAACTGTGCTTGTAATTACTCTTTATGTATCTTTTGCATTTAAATTGAGTTATTTATATTTGTAGTGTTTAGTATGGAACTGCCATACTGGGAAATACACGGTTAGTGTTTGTTGAAAGGTTAAATTGTGTAAGAGTTTGTGTAGGTCTGGTAACTATAAAATAGCCCTTTCCTAGTTGGTGATTCTTCATTTTTATTTTGTCTCAGAATTATCAGACTCAGGTACATCTGTGAGTGAGAACAAATGCCACCTTGAAGATGGGAGTGATCAAAAGGTAATCTTTAAATTTCCCATTCTAGTGTAATAGTTCTTGGAAATTAGAAAGGTTTAAAACAAAGAATTTCAGTTTCCTGGCATTATGTTTAGTTTGTCATATTTTGTTTTTTCGTGAATACTTAGGATCCTGTGCCAGAGCTACAGGAAGAGAAACCTTCCTCTTCAAATTGGGTTTCCAGACCATCTACCTCATCCAGAAGAAGAGCCATCAGTGAGACAGGTATAGGGAATACTTATTTGGACACATTCCAACAGCTCTTTGGTGTTTTTTCTCTTTAACAAAATTAGTGCTTTTAGGGCTAATGAAATTGTTCTTTTCTTTTTAGATGAATGAACTTCTGAGTGTATTTTTAAATTTTATTTGATATCCAGTTGCTTTTTTAGCAATATTTTTCCTGCTAACTAAAGTAAACACTGTTTACTGTGTTCCATTGGAGTTGATGGTTACCAAGATAATAGAGGACAAGGATATAAACTCTATTTTAACCATTATTCTTAGTTTTGCAGTTAAAATTTTTAATTGTTTTTAATAAATGGTAAAACACAATAGAATGTTTTAAAAATAGAGAAAAAAGTACCATCTTCATAAATGAAGAATTAAAATAGATGAGAACTTTTTTAACAGAAAAGATAGTGGCAGAGACTGTAGTCTGATGAAGTCATGATAACTGAAACTAAAGAGTCGGCTCGGCGCCTATAGCTCAACCGGCTAAGGCGCCAGCCACGTACACCTAAGGAGGCGGGTTCGAATCCCCAGCCCGG